GCGATATATTTATAATTTATGCTATGATTATAAATGCTAAATATTTATAATAATATCCAGAAATTTGTATTTATAATTTTTGTATAATTTAAAATTTATATATTTTACAATATTTATATAAGATGCAGAAGACACAAATATATAAATAATATGTAAATATACAAATATTCATAATATACAGGTGTAATATATAAATATAATATGTAAATATATAAATATATTTGATATAAATACATAGAAAATATATATTAAAAAGTACATATATATAAAAATACATATTAAAATGCATAAATAAAATACATGCTTTTTTTGCATCTTGTCCCACGTCAATGGCTTGTCCCACAGGACAGCTGTCAGCTGGGTAGAGAGCAAAAAAATGTGGAGAGGGAGTGGAAGGTGCTTCCAGGAGCACCTCTGCAGCTCGGCCCTGGGCTGAGGGTTGATCCCACCAGAAATGCCCAGCGGTGCAGGGGATGCTCCTCTTTTCCCTCCTTTCCCGGAGCAGGTGCCTGTGTGTCTGTGTTCCTGCAGGGTTTCCGGGTTGTCCCAGCTGAGGAGTGCTGGATGAAGTCCCTGGAGCCGCTGCTGGGGGAGGTGAGGGCCCAGATGGGGGACAAGCCCGTGTACATCAGCTTCGATATCGATGGATTAGACCCCGCGTATGCCCCGGGCACCGGCACCCCCGAGATAGCTGGGCTCACACCTGCACAGGTGAGGGGGCTCCAGGGAATGCAGCTGCATTTCCCACTGGGAAAGGCATGTTTTTGCTCCCAGGTCATGCCACCAGCACAGCAAAGAGAAGGCTAAGGAAGGCCTGGGAGCATTTCCTTATGTTGATGAGGAAGGGAAGCGTGGAACTAATGAGATTTGATCTGTAGAGGTTGGGTTTCCTTATATGAAAATGGGGAAAGCAGAGCCCTGACTGGTCCACCAGGTCAGATGTTTCTTGATCCCAAATCCACTTTTTTCCTAGGCTTTGGAGATTATTCGTGGCTGCAAAGGCCTGAACATAGTGGGGTGTGACCTCGTGGAAGTCGCACCAATGTACGACGTCTCTGGTGAGTCTAAAGATCTCGAGAGTAAAACGTGCCTGGCAGAGGCAGCCACGAGTGAAAGCCATTGGATATTCATGGATTATTTTTCCCCCTTGTTTTGTCTTTTTTTAGGTAACACAGCCCTCCTGGGTGCAAACCTACTGTTTGAGATGCTGTGTGTTCTCCCAGGAGTGAGGACACTGTGAGGGTAGTTCCTGCCTGCTCCAGGACAACGCTGCTCCGTGTCCCCAGCCAGGCTTTCCATGTCCCTTTCCCCTCATCCAGCTGCAGCCAACGTGGGCTTTGCAGCACAGAATAAATGCCATTTTCCACTAGTAAAGGTAATTTTAAGCTGAGAAGCTCTAGGGAGCAGATGGGTTTGAACACCCCATTTAACTGGGGTCTGGAGCTTTGAAATTGGTCTGGTAAAGGGACAGATGAGGCTAATAGTGTTTGGCCTCTGGAATTACTCACCCAGCTTACAGGGCTCCTGGCAAAATTTACTGGAAAGGGTTTCTTCCATTAGGATGTGGCAGCAAGACAATGACTATAGAGGAAGGGAGGGCAGCAAAGGGCATCTGGGGATCCTGCTGAGCATAGGGGGATGTTTGACTGCAGTTCCTGCTGGTGGAATCAGCAGGAGTTTCCTATGGCAGGAGTGGTTTAATCACTCCTGGAATTTCTGAGCTGATGTGGAGGTGAGGTTAGGTTGTACAGGGAAACACAAAGCCACTTCATCACACATTAAAATAAGTTTATTTTGGTTGCGAACCTGTAATTGTCTTAAAACAAAATGACATAAGTGCCTGTTCACAAATACAAAACCAAAACCAAACCAAAACAAAAAAAAACCCAACAAAACAAAAACAAACAAACAAAAAAAATAAAAAGACAAGTTTGCCAAATAAGTTAATTCCCCCCCTCCCAGTATCAAAAGTGCAAAATAGGTACCTAGTTTTCAGTCCTACTTGTCAAGCTGCGCTCGTGTCCTGGCTCCTGGCTGCTGTGGGTGAAGGGCAGAGACAGGGGCAGGGAGGAGTTTGGGAACAACCTCCACTCCAGGGCCTGTGTCCCTTCTCCTCAGCTCTGAGTGCTGTGCCATCGCTCAGGTCTCACTAGGACAGTGCACTAGGACCGAATTTCCTCAATCTTTGGATTATGAACCACCACGCATGGAACAGAATCACAGGGGTTAGAAAATGATGGGGGGTGAGGGCTCAGGGCTGCTGGGAGAGCAGGGGCAGATCCCGGGTGTCATAGTTTGAGATTGGTCCCCCTTGAGAGTCAGGGGCTCAGAGGTGACTGGGTGCCAGGGCAGTGTTCCCTGGAGAGCCAATCACTGTCCATGTTGTTTGCTTCTGCTGAAAAATCATGTATCACAGACCTGGAAGCTGCTGGCAGTTGTTCTGTTGGTGTCTGCTGTATGTAGGTGGAGAAGGCCAGGGGGTGGCAGGGCTCCTTCTTCCCCCTCTCCAGGGGGAGAGGGGAGCCCTGCGCCCCCCCAGCTCTGCCTAGGCCAGAGTTAAGAGGCAGCATTTGGAGTGTGTGCTGTGAAGGAAGAGATTCACAGCACCTGAGGTAAGAGGGAGGAGGCCAGGCCCTCTTCCCCCTTCCCCCTGCAGCTGCGGGACACTTGGGACAGTGTATAACTGGACAGAGCTGCCTGTGGCCAAGGCTAGGGGGCTTTTTTCCCCCCCACTGCATTGAGGCTGGTAGGGGGTGGATTTTAAGGCTCAGCATTAAAGCAGAGCCAAGTGGACAGGCTGCTGATGAAACAGCTCAGAGCCTGGAAATTGGATTCCGGATTTCTAATGTGGCTCAAACTGCCACACCGGGATAAGCAGCTCTGACCCTGCTCTCCAAGACAGCAAACACCTGGAGCGCCACACTGGCACTAAAACCTACTAAACCAGGGGTTAGGGCAGCTTGGCATTTGCTTCAACCCAGGAAAAAGGGTTTCCATAAAACAGAAACCAGGGGCTGTGCTCCCATCCAGCCAGACCTGGCAAGGGTGGACTGCTGCAAGAGCTCCTTCAACTCGACTCTGGCTGAAAGGGGAGGTTACCTGTGCTAAAAAGAAAATAAAAAAGGACTCTGGCAGAATTTGAAGGCTGTAAAGCCTTCTCTCCTTCCTCGGGGCAGGGCTGAATTCCCTTGCTGTAGCACAACTAGGCACTTTTTTTTCATGGATTGAGGCTTTTCTACTGGTTTCTGACCAGATGAAGAGACAGCAGAGACCCAGAGAGTATTCTTTTGCTTTTGCAAATGTTGAAGAAGTTATGTGGAGCCTTCTGGTGGGCTAAAACCTATTCCAGCCATATCCTGCACGGGAAAAGCACAGGAGTAGACAGCAATCACTCCAGCCAAGTGAACATGCAGTCTAGAAGCACCAGGCTGGTGTTTTGTTCCCCCTCTGCTCTCCTTCAGCAGTTTTTGTGCACCTCAGAGTTCCTGGACAGGGAGAAGACCCTGCCTTCTTTCCTTCCTTCCCTCTGCTTTCTGGGGCACAGAGTCTGCTGGGCTGGAATTAATTAACCTCACATAGGGTTGGTTGGTAGCCTTTATCTGAAGTACATTTTACAGGGGTCTGAGGTACCTGCAGGGTTCAGAGCACGCCAGTCTGCTCCCAGGATGGGAGGAATGCAGTGAGGCAAGGCTTTGGGAGCAACTAGGGCATGTAGGCAGTGCAATGACGAGCATTCCCATCTTCTATGGGATCAGCAGCTGGCTCAGAGGTCGGCACTTATTCCTACTGACTGGCTGCTCTGCTAAGATGGTCACTAAGGTGGCGAGGGCTGAGTTTGGAATTAACACCATGTGCTCTGAGGGCTCTGTGTCAGGTTCAGAGCCCTGTGGCAAAGGCCACCTGCTCCCATCCCTGCACTTTGGCAGTGCTGGAGCCTGATGGTGACAGGATCCATGGAAGGAGACCTGGGTGACAGCAGCCAAAAGGAAGCACAAGCCTCATGGGATTTCAGTCCTGGCCACAAAGAGAAGCCCTGCTGCCTCCCTTGATTGCTAGAAGGTTAAGCAGCCATGAGGCTGCTGCTTGCCCTCCCTCTACCTTACCCAGGACCACCCTTTCCCAGCAGTGTTGGAAGTGGCTGTTGGGGCACTGCTACAGCAAAGCACCATCCAAACCCTGTTCTAGCCTCACACAGACTTACAACTTCCAAAAGACAAAAAAGAAAATAAATATCCAAGCAAACAAACACAAAGGCAAGGCAGCAGCCTGAGTGTGGAAAAACAGAGGTTTGGGGCAAGGAGGAAATGGGCAAGAGGTGGAAACGGGCGAGAAGCTGAAACCCAACATCTCAACCCCACACCTAAACCAAAAGGAGCTTCACACACACGCGACGGTCTGATGATACAGCACTTCTGGGGCAACATCTCAAGAATACAATCGTTGAAGGATGAGGTTCCTCGATACAAAGGAAGGTTGGTTTGTACTACAGTTGGAAGGGTGTCTGCAAGGAGCCCAGGTGACTCCCTGGCAGCTACGTAGAGGTTTTTTTACACATCTACTGGCTCATAGCAGCTTACGCCTACAATCTGAGGACGCAGGTAAAGTTATGGCTCTAGGATACATCGTCTAAAATCGACAGAAGCAGAAAAGGCATCTGAAAAATCAACGTGACATTTAAATGGCTCAACACTTTGACAGTATTTACGGCCGTGCAAAACCCTTTTCCTTCCCAGTCACTGTTCAGCCGGTGAAGCTGCACGTGGAACCAGGACACGAGGAGCATGAAACATGCAGGTCACCCACGAGCCCGCACCACAGGTGAGTCCCAGCTACAGGTTTGCTACAGGGGAGATGCTCCTGACTGGACTCTACATCACTTACCACGGGGAAAGCCGAGGAAGTACAACTGCCTGGCGGGAGGAGGCCTTTTGGAAGGGCAGGGCCTGGGAGGGTCTGCAGGGTCTTGCCAGTGTTACACCATGCACTGCACCATGGGCTAAGCACACGGGGATGGGGAGAGAGAGAACCGCGACCCGACCTGCACCACTGGCCGCGGCTGGTCCGGGCCGAGAGAAGTCACAGGGTTTTTCTTCAACTGAGGTAAAACGAGAGATGGAACAGGGGTGACTTGGGAAGCAGGTGTGGCAGGACAAGAAGGGAAAAACAGACTTCTTGGCTCTTCGGTAGGACGGCGTCCGAGCGCACGATGGGTCAGTGGAGGGCAGGTGGGTGTGCTTGGCTGCGCTCCCGGGCTCCGGACGGGGGGAGATATGTTTTCGTCTCCGGCCCCAGGAGGGTTCACCTAAAACCTAAGGTCCATTCATCACGCTTGTTTGTGTATTCCTGGAAAGAGCTGTCCTTTGTCATCTTCATAAAAAGTTTGTCCCTTAGAATCTCTGTAAAATCCCTCAGTCTAACGCAGGCCACGAGGGGATATAGAACCTCTGTAAGGAACCCTCTAGGAGGCGTTCCATCCAAAAGGACAATTTGTGTAATTTGTTTTTAATGGATCTAGATCCCGGGCTGCAGGAGGGTTTCCCTCTGGCTTCCGCGTGTAGTGAGGCATCGTAATCCTCGCAGGATCCCAGGGTTCCCCCCTCATCCCCTGATCTGTGAGGCTTAAAGAGGCAGAAATATTTCTTGTGGCCGTTCAGAGCCAGGACGTAGCCCGTGTAGTCGCGCTCCAGGAAGTGCTTGTCGTACTGGTTTGGGATGGGGGCTGCATCCTGCGCAAACTCCAGCAGGTACTCCAGCCACTCCCGGTGCTTGTCCAGGCTGAGGAAGGAGAAATGAAGAGAGCTGCTCCTGGGAAAAGAGCAGAGAAGACAGTGGGATTAGCATGTGTCCTGAGCAAGGCTGGATTCCTATGAACAGGTAAGGATTTGTCAGCAAGGGCAGGGCAGGGCAGTGTTGCTGCAGCTCCTTTTCCAGCACAGGTGATGCTTGCCCAGTGTGCAGCACTGTCGTGCTCTCTATCTGATGAAACATGGGTACAGCCAAAGTGGCAGCAGCACCAGACCCGTGGCCACCATCACTGAGTCTGGCCAGGAAAGGACACTTGTTTTTTGGCAGCTCATTGCCACAGGTGAGCACAGAGGCTGCTCGCCAGAAATGTTTCCTCTTGGCAATGGAGCCGACCCTGCTCCTCCTGTGTCGCCAGAGCTGCCTCACACAAGTTGTTAACACAATAACAGAAACCCAGGAGAGGCCCCAGCCTACCCTGTAAATGTGTAGACTTCCAGGGCGAACTTCTGGAGCAGGGGGGTTTTGGTCGAGTTGGACAGGATCAAGACGACGTTCATGTGGCCCGGCCTCAGGCGCACCAAGTTACTGGTGTAGTTGATGTCCGTTAGCTCAGTCACCTCAACAAAGCCCTTTTTGGGAATCCTGCTGCAGCAAAGCAGTGACTGAGTGAAAGGGGGGCAAGGGACCAGGAGCGACTGAGGACGGAGAAACTGTGACCATGTTCCTCAGCCTGTTCCCGAGCCATCCCTGTGCCCAAAGCCAGTTTAATTGGTAAAACAGCCCAGTTTGGATCGTCCTCAACAAGTGGGTCAGACCTTTACCTTTTCCCCAAGCATGCTGTCTGGTGCAAACTTGGTGGGAATTGTTTAATAAGCAAATTAATGTCACCTTGTCCTCGCTGGTGGGGTCCTGGCTCACACCGCTCCTCCCCACCTGGCTGTGCCGGTGCTGCTCTGCACAACAACTGCATTATGTCTGTGCAACTCTGCCACTTCTCTGCTCTCCACTAACTCTCCCTGCACAGACACCCCCTGAGCAATGCTTCCACAGAAAAGACTTCTGGAGAAATTAGAGGGAACCTGTTACTCTCTTTGCTGAAGCTCACGTCGTTCTTCTCCGTCTTTGTGGCGGCTTCTTCTTTCTCCGAGGGCGGAGAGTCCCTTGTGTCGCTCGAATCACTGTGGAGGAAGGTGATTTTGTGTGTGTTTAAGGCCCTGGGTTGGAGTGAGGAGCTACCCCTGAGGGCATTTTGGTGTGCACTCACCTGAAAGCCTGAACAATAACGGTGCCAAAGAGAATGAAGAGCGCGGAGAAGAGCAAGGACAGCAGCGGCATCATTTCTCGCCTGAGGGGAAGATGTGCAAAGAGCAGTCTGGCCTGTAAGTTCACATTTTCTGCCCGAATTCCAGTCCCTGTCCACCTCAAATAACAACACATGCTTTCCCCAGAAACTCAGCTTGTTTCTCAGGGTCTTAAAGACCATCAAGTTTTTGAGTGCTGTCCTGCTCCCACCCAAAAGAGGAGGCTAAAAATGTCACCTTATTTTAAAATAAGGTGACAGGGAAGCAGTGAAAACCCACAATGGATG